AGATGGCGAGTTGAGGGGCAGGGAAAGCCTGGATGCAGTCTTGTGGACCTACAGTGAGTGAGCAGGCTTTTAAGTCTGAGTTTTCCCGGTCAACAGATGATCCACCGCCATGTGGAGAAGTGTAGATTTCGAAATGTTCATCATGTGTTTCAATATTAGGCCACGTGGGTGGCAAATGCTCATATCTTTGTCATGCTATTACACCCCCGGCTGGGAATTCATTGCCTGCTACCCCTCTCCTCGCCCAAAATCGGCCACTCAGCATCGCGTCGGAGGACGGTCAACCCAGCATATGAGCCCCTCAGGCTTGACAAATGGGCTGAGTTGACCGGACGGCTGGGTTCGGGGTCAAAGAGCAACCGATCAGCGCCAAAGGATTGCGTGCGGGATTCTGGTAGCATGAATTCATATTTACAGCCTGCACACCCTAATGCATGAAATTTGGAACGCCGCGTTATTCCGTGTTTATGCAGGGCCGCCACTCCATGCTTATTGAATTGCTAAGGAAGCCTTGTGCGACTTCAGCGTCATGTGCACATAAAAAGGAACGTTCGCACTTCCGTGCCGGCGGCCATGCGTTGACCTGCGGCCCCGCTCACCAGGAGGGCTCGCTGGCCGCCGTACAAGAGCTCTACAAGTCAGGCGTGCGGCTCTTCATCGGTTTCCCGAACAGCGATGACCTGTTCTCGGTGGTGCGGTGGGCGCGCACACACGCGCCCGACGCCGTGTTCGTCTCGCCGTCGGCCACGGCCACGGACGTGCAGCACGGCGCCGGCAGTCCGCTGCTGCTCAGCATGGGCGATTCGGCGCTGGCCGTGGCGCTGCTGTGCCTGCTGCGCGACCGCGGCGTGCGCCACCTGGTGCCGGTGGTGGCCGACACCACGTACGGCCGCAGCCTGCTGGAGGAGCTGCGCCGCGCCGCCCTCTACGACGGCGCCTGGACGGCCGTGCTCGAGCCTGTCCAGTACCGGCCCGAGGCGATGGCCGAGCGTGACGCGCGACGCGCCGTGCTGCGCGCCGCGCGAGACGCGCTGGCGCGCCTCGGCGGGCGGCCGGCCGACGCCGGCCTGCTGTTCGTCGCCGGGACGGAGATGCGCCAATTCCTCGAGGACGGCGCCTGGGACACGCGGCTGGGGGCGGCGCAGTGGTTCGGCGCCGACTCGCTGGCGCTGCGCGGCGACCTGCTGGCGACGCCGGCGGCGCGCGCCGCCCTCGTCCGCGTCCGACTGACGGCGCTCATTTACGAAGGAGCCATCGGCGCGACCGACGCGGAGCAGCGCTGGGCCGTGCTGAGCCGGCTGCGCACCAGCGCCGAACAGCCGGCACCCAACGTGCTGCGCGCCTACGACGGTGCCATGATGCTGGCCGAGCTGGGCCACCTAGTGCTGGGCCGTGGCGACACGACGGCGGCGCTAGCGGCTCTGCGCGCTGCTGCTCGGCCGGGGGTCACCGGTGCCGCCGCCGTCAGCGACGGCTCGCGCCGCGCCGGCGGTCGCTTTGCCGTGGCACGCGTGGTGGCGCGCGCCGTCGGCGGGCGGCGGCTGATGGCGCCCAGCGGCCCCGACGCCGACACCCTCTGGGTGGTGACGGGCCAGGTGCGCATCGAGGCCGACCCGGACCAGGGCATGTACTTGGGCCGCACTGTGCTCAGCACGGCCGGCTCCGGGCTGCACCTGGTGCGGCGCGCCGACGTGCAGGCGCTGTACGCGGCGATCGGCGGCTGCCGCGGCGACAGTCTGACGGTGACGGCCGTCGAGCCGGCCGCATACCGCGCTGTCAGCGCCGACTACCGGGCCGACGAGCTGCCCGACCGTCTGCTGGTGCCGGCCGCCCACCCCGTGCGGCTCGAGCTGCACTGCGGCGCCTCCGACTCCGGCCTGCTGCAGATGGCCGTGCGCTGTCCGGCCGTCCACCTGCCCGGCGCGGACACAGTCTTCTGCCTGGCCGAGACCTACCGCCTGGTGAGCGGCAACGCGTCACGAGTGCCCGCCGCCGGCGTGAGATGGCAGCACGAGCGGCACCTGGTGCGCTGCGGCGCCGCCTCGGCCGCGTGCCTTGACCAGCCGTGCGACGAGCAGCGTTCGTGCGTGAATGCGGTCGCGGACGAGTTAACCCAGTGGCTCGAGGGCCACAGCGGGCCGTGACGACGCGGGCGTTCCGCCACCGTCGTGTTCGTGGCACTCAAAGAACGCCTTCCCGCTAGCCGATGTACAGGCAAGTCGAGCCTCCGAGTTGATTGTGAGATTGAAAGGCGTTGAAATAAAAAGAACCGAAACTGCTTGCCTGCCTGATGACCTGAACATGAAAGGCAACGTTGTTAAGTATTTTCCCCGACTGTCGCGCGATGTCTTGAACCTGTTGATTTTGAAATGCATAACGTGTTGTTGAAAATAAACATGGGTCTTTGTGAAAAAAGTGATTGTTAATGAAATGACATGCAAACACAACAGCACACATGTGCCTGGCGGGACAGGCTCTACCACATTGTTCCAGGAATGCGAGGCGGCAGCTTGGGGTTGAAAAATTGTCCGATATTATTTGGTAACGGCGCAATAGACTTTTCTGATTTACTTGGGTTCGCCACAGGGGGCCGACATCACGGGTTAGGGATCACCGAGCTTCGCGGACGGTTGCCACGAAATTTGTCGGAACTGCGACGTAATTTCCGTACCCGCAAAGACATCTGCCTGGCAACTGTTCTGAACTAGACAACTAAAGTGGTTCAGCGACATGCTGAACTCGAAACTAATAGGAAACGCGGCTTTAACGGCCTTTTGTTGCTTTCTGTCCGATCAGACAGGGACCATGACCAATATGAGGTGCCGCAGGATCCAAGAAACGGAACTCTACCAGCTGCAAACTCCATCCGTTGGTTTACCGACGCTCCAAGTCACGATCGTCTGCTGCCGCTGGCAACGACCACCTGACAGCGCCAGGCCGAAACATGGGCTCCCGTCCGGCCCTGCAGACGACGGGCTGCACTGCTCTGGCATGTGGCACGGGGGACTCATCGCCGCGTCAGACCAATGCAGATGGTCTGGCGCGGCCGTCCATGTGCATTGGACGTCCGGGTCTGCATGCTCTGGCACATGGCACGGGGGTGACTCATCGCCGCGCCAGATCAATGCAGATAGTTTGGCGCGGGCGTCCATCTGCATTGGACGTCCGGGTCTGTATGCTCTGGCACGTGGCACGGGGGGACGCATCGCCGCGCCAGACCAATGCAGATGGTCTGGCGCGGCCGTCCATCTGCATTGGACGTCCGGGTCTGTATGCTCTGGCACGTGGCACGGGGGACTCATCGCCGCGCCAGACCAATGCAGATGGTCTGGCGCGGCCGTCCATCCGCATTGGACGTCCGGGTCTGTATGCTCTGGCACGTGGCACGGGGGACGCATCGCCGCGCCAGACCAATGCAGATGGTCTGGCGCGGCCGTCCATCTGCATTGGACGTCCGGGTCTGTATGCTCTGGCACGTGGCACGGGGGACTCATCGCCGCGCCAGACCAATGCAGATGGTCTGGCGCGGCCGTCCATCTGCATTGGACGTCCGGGTCTGTATGCTCTGGCACGTGGCACGGGGGACTCATCGCCGCGCCAGACCAATGCAGATGGTCTGGCGCGGCCGTCCATCTGCATTGGACGTCCGGGTCTGTATGCTCTGGCACGTGGCACGGGGGGACGCATCGCCGCGCCAGACCAATGCAGATGGTCTGGCGCGGCCGTCCATCTGCATTGGACGTCCGGGTCTGTATGCTCTGGCACGTGGCACGGGGGACTCATCGCCGCGCCAGACCAATGCAGATCGCTCCGCAATCCCGCCTGGGAAGATGCTGGGCGGGAACACCGTCCGTTCGACTAACGTGGGATGACAAGGACGGTAAACTCTATGTACGAGCAACAAGCCGCCTCGCACATGCACGGAACGAGGTGCCATCCATGGATAAGTATCGGAGATGTGCGAAGATGAGCGACTTCGAATGAAGCGCCGGAGTATGCATCAACGGGACACGTGGCGCAGAACAAGAGGCGAATGTTGTGAGTGCAGTCCGGCAAGTTTGTTCTCGATATCAGCTCATTAGTAAACCGCAAATCATGCCCGAAAAAGATAATGTTATTTAATGTTATGTCACTATATGTAATATAAATACATATGTCTATATATATATATATATATATATATATATATATATATATATATATATACGCGATAGTCATCTGTAATTTGTTGCCAAAAGGTTACTTAGGTCATCTACAACATAAAGCGCCGAAAGTTGTTTGGTGTTGAAGCCTAGCACCCAGACCGGTGCGCGTCACGTGCGGGACGGTATAGTGCGCCTCTCAATTTTTTTCGCTGGAAGTTACAGCCTCAAACTTTACCAAAACGCAGTCTATGATCCATTTTAAAACGGTACCAGACGAGCACCCATATTCGCCGATTGCCGATGTGTCCGAATCGATAACGGGGATGGCAGGGTTTTATCTTGGCACTAGCCCAATGTTCACGCCATGGAGTGTTGCGATGTGATGCGACATATGTGAAATATGTGACAGGTGAAGCACGGAATTTTATGATGAAAATATGCGTTCGAAGAGGGTTTGGGGTCAGAAAATTTTGACCATTCGAGGAGCTGTGGGAGCATCGCTCTCCCATGAACTAACCCTTCTGCAGCCCATTGGGCCTTTGTACAAAAACGTAATACGCCGCCGGCTGGGGCGCCACGCCTGAATGACACTGGGACAAGCCCAGTGCGCTGACGACCCTGAGGTGATCCGAACTTCACACCTACCAGCTAACGTACCACTGAATGTGCACTCCATATCACGCAAAAGTCGTTGCACAATGCAATTAGATTGCTGAACCCGTTTTGCTATGAAATACGCGGCGGGAGACCATTTCGAAACCAAAAAGCATTCTCAGCTGTCAGATCGGACAGCTGTGACAGTTTACACCAGCTGAAATGGCATCCCGCAGTCCACCGGTAGCAACACACAAAGGCTGTCGGAAGTTGCAACAGATTTTATTGCTCCAAAACCGCGTATCCGAGTCCAAGGCACAGGAATTTTCAGAAGTCGACCATCGAAAGCCCGCAGTGGGTTGTTATTGTAAAGAACAAACCAAACAGCGCAGTCTGCGCCACCCAGCAGCCGCCGGACGGCGCAGACCTGACGCGCAATAGCGTAAGCAGTGTGCTGCCAACTCAACGGCCAGTGTAAGTCCCGCAGCGGGGCACTGTTACTCAACAAACTGCGCTCCCAACCAAGTGCGAGTAACTCCAGGGCGGCCGCGGCTGGCGTGGCCGGCCGTCCCCTCCCCCCTCGTCAGACCCCAGCGCTCCACTCCAACCGGGCCGGGGTCGCTCCGTGACGTCCTCTCCGGTGACGTCACCGTACTCTCCAAACATCTCCCGAACGGGTGCGCCTCTCGCAGGCGCGCGCGCGCACGCGTGGCGTCGTCGTCTCCCTCGTCTTTCTCTCCCCAATTTCTCGTCGGTGAATTTTCTGGGCGGCGCCGGCGGGCGGCGCTGGCCCGCGCGCTGGGCGCCGCCGGCCGACGGCAGACCGCTGAAGCGCTCGGCTCTGGCAGGGTGGCTGGCCCGGTGTCCGCACGCCTCTACCCATCTCTGGAGCAGTCCCGAGCCATGTGGCCGAAGTCGCCGCACGTGTAACACTTGGGACAGTTGCGAGCGATGTGGCCGGCCTTCTTGCACCTGGAACACGGCCGCCAGCGAGGAATTAGTGCGCACCCCGGCCATCACGTGCGTCCAGTCATTTGAAACAACGAGCCGTCGCCACCCCGTCATTCTAAACCTCTGGATTAAGCATGACAATGACACTATTAGGCTTATGTTAAAAATCTGTTGAATACAAATCAAGTAAAAGTTCGCTGTCAGCCGTCCGTTGCTCACCAACTTGAGAAGAAATCGACCAGAAAGACCCCCCCCCCCCCCCCCCGACAAGCACTGACAGCCAAAAGACTCATGTCATGCATCACAAGATCGAAAATGCATTGAATATGCTAAGCGGCCATACCGCATTTTCGTATCCCACCTAAATGCTGCAATCGGGGCTTTCGTGATGGAAAAATTCAAGTACTAGACGAAAACACGCACAAAAATAAAAGCATGGTTACACTACACAATGAATACATTGCTTTCATAAGTTCCGAGAACGTGACACAGATTAAATCCAGCTTGTTGTTCTTGCAGCTTCCGTCCAGTTGTGGCCAAGTCACACTCGCTCGTAAGTGCAGTATTGTGAACAGTAAACATACCCAATACATAGCGAACCCACTTCCTAGCAGGCCTCCAAAAAGTGACCGTAGACATGCTGACATTACAGGTGCATACCCTACCCCATGCAACTGGATGGTTCATGACTGATCTTGTTTCCTTCCGTTTTCACGATGGCAAACAAGACCTACCATACACACGTTCTGCCATGCGTGTCTCAATGGTTGGAGAGATCTGAAAGCGTTATAATGATGAAGCGCTAAGTTTCAGCGCAAGAATACAGCTGTTCACAATGAGAATGATGAGCCTATATCGTACCATACGGTATAAGCACATCGCTCTCATCACCATCATCTCTTGAACCCCCCTGTGTGCTGCCCATCTGAGTGCAGATGACGTTGCTACATCAGACATAGCACCAGCAAACAACATATCCACATCCCTTCACAGGTACAGATACATACAACTTTAGTTCTAGACATAGCAGTGGCATTACGTAAACGCTTTTACGGGGTAGCGATCTGATCATGTGCTGTACGCACAAACCTTACCAGAAAAAGACAGGTTGCAATACTTTGGCGAGTTTTGCCTCCCCAGTTTATAGAAAAAATCAACATCCAAGTTCCCTTTGATGCTCAAATTTCTTATCAACTACTTCATCTTCTTTTTTCCATTAACACCCTCGAGCCCAATACAATCCTCTAAAATTGACAGAATAGCATAACAGTCCACCTGACCCGTAAACTGTAGAGTACAGCTGAAACACATCATTCAGCAAAAACTCTCACTTAGTTCGCCGTTCCTGTGTTATATAAGGACGCTCCATCTTCGCACGGCGGCAGCCAAGTTCGTGCACGCACACACGCACACTAAAGCCATCCACAGCCCCAGCCGACCCGGGCCGGGAATGCGGCGCCCCGGCGGCGTCGGGTGGCCGCGGCCGGCGCGGCCAGACCCACCTGTGGCACGAGTCCTCGAATTGAGCACGCGGCCGGACCCACCTGCGGCACGAGTCCTCGAATCGAGAACGCGGCCGGACCCACCTGTGGCACGAGTCCTCGAATCGAGAACGCGGCCGGACCCACCTGTGGCACGAGTCCTCGAACTGAGCACTCGGCCGGACCCACCTGTGGCACGAGTCCTCGAATTGAGCACGCGGCCGGACCCACCTGCGGCACGAGTCCTCGAAGTGAGCACGCCGCCGGACCCACCTGTGGTACGAGTCCTCGAAGTGAGCACGCGGCCGGACCTACCCGTGGCACGAGTCCTCGAAAAGAGCACGCGGCCGGACCCACCTGTGGTACGAGTCCTCGAAGTGAGCACGCGGCCGGACCTACCTGTGGCACGAGTCCTCGAAGTGAGCACGTGGCCGGACCCACCTGTGGCACGAGTCCTCGCCGGCGGCCGGATTGTCCGGGCAGTCGCGGCTGATGTGCTCAGTCGACTTGCACGTGTAGCACATGCGCTTCTTCTCCTCGCCGCTGGCCTCGGTGCAGTCCGACGAAATGTGGCCGCTCTTGCCGCACACGTAGCACTGGAAAGCCAGGTGGCGACGATGCTCACCACGGAACACGCACGGGTCGCGCTAACGTCAGGGATGGGCAGGGCGGACAGCAGTATCCAAAGACTGCCTCACACCAAAAGGCTGCATGCCATTATGATCTAAGATAGCACACGATCATCCCGAACGCTATGAATGGCGTAGCCCAGGTGGGACAGTGGTCGCCTCGTGACGTCATCGTCTCTGGCGTCATGACGTCATTCCCGCTGCAATCGGCGTGACAGATGTTGACACCTCATTACCTTATCTGTTGAACATTGCCTTAAACCCCAATAATTATCTTCAAGAATGTCACACCTGTTAACTCCAAACATCAAGTTGAATGACACCATTCAGTTTAAAATCCAGTCCCATTAACACCTGCCATATTTTTATGCTCACTGCATCCTCAATGAACATGACTCCCAATCACAGTCACATGCATCCAGCAACAATCATAACCAATATGACACTACCCAATACCGCCCGCTCACACATTCACAGCGTCACCCCACGACGACGACCTCCGCCTCCCACCACTGCCCTCTCACCTTGAGCCCCGTACTATTCTGTCGTCGACCTCCGCCTCCCACCAGTACCCTGTCACCGCCCGCTGCCAGCCCCCTCCCCCCCCCCCCCCTCCCCATACCATCCTGTCGTCGACCTCCGCCTCCCACCATTGCCCCGTCACCGCTCGCTGCCAGCCACCGCACCATCCTGTCGTCGACCTCCGCCTCCCACCATTGCCCTGTCACCGCCCACTGCCACACCATCTTGTCGTCAACCTCCGCCTCCCACCAGTACCATGTCACCGTCCGCTGCCAGCCGCCGCACCATCCTGTCGTCGACCTCCGCCTTCCACCAGTACCCTGTCACCGCCCGCTGCCAGCCGCCGCATCATCCTGTCGTCGACCTCCGCCTTCCACCAGTACCCTGTCACCGCCCGCTGCCAGCCGCCGCACCATCCTGTCGTCGACCTCCGCCTTCCACCAGTACTCTGTCACCGCCCGCTGCCAGCCGCCGTACCATCCTGTCGTCGACCTCGCAGTCGCGGCTGATGTGGCCCTTCTTGCCGCAGGTGTAGCAGGTCTTGTCGGTGTCGGGACAGTCGCGCGCCAGGTGGCCGGTGCCATTGCAGTTGTAGCAGAGGGCCTCGCGGCCGCGCCGCTCCACCTGCGGGTTGGTGCAGTCGCGCGCGATGTGGCCCGGCTGGTCGCAGCGGTAGCACACGTCCTCGCCGGCCGTGCAGTCGCGCGCCATGTGGCCCATCCGATTGCACTTGTAGCACTTCTCTGCAATGGAGCAAAGTAGTCCGTTAACGTCCGCTGGAATGAGAATCGGATTCTGATGCTGCACATCTTGAGGTCCGCACCTTTGGGATGCATGAATTTCTGGGATAAGACCTCAAGCTAAGCAATGTTTGTTGTGTGGGCCGTGATACCAGGTCAACGGCAGAATTTGGTGGCGAAAGTTTAACGAGTTGTAATGTTCGACACGGTCCGCCCAGCCCTCTGACGTCACCTGACCTTTGGCGCGGCCGCTGCCACCGACGCAGGCCATATCTATCACGGGCGGGCACCTAAAGCAAGTCGCACCAAGCCCACCGCGGGTGGTTGATAGGAGGGCAGGCGCCCCAACCAGCCGAGCTACCGGGACGGGCTCAGTCGGCTCAGATGGGACGGCACATCACGGACACCACAGAGCTCATCGCAAAAATAAGACGTCGTTGTGCAGCCGAGTCAGTCAATATCATTGTGTTAACATAAAAGAGCGAATGGCACACTGTGTTATCATATCAAACCATGTAAACATATGTATCTGGATGTAGATAAGTCAATTTGTTGTCAGTTTAAAGTGAAATATTCCCGTAATGTGAACTGATTAAATGTGCATTAATGGAGCATCAACAGCACAACCGGAGAGTGAGCGCACCTCTGAAGACGGAGCGTCCGCCTCTGCCGCGGCCACGGCCTCTCGTCGTGGCGGTGCTGGCGCCGGTCGAGCTGGTCTTCGGCTCGGCCGTCGGGCACGAGCGGGCCATATGGCCTACCTCGTGACAGTTGTAGCACTCGATCGTGCTCGGCGACGAACCCTAGAGGATCATCACATAATTTTTGGTCAAAACTCGTACCCTGGCAGTGGCCTTAGTGCCCAGCATGATCACTACACACTTTGCAAGAACTGGTTTCACATCTATAAGACCATGTAGACAACTGACTAGTGCAGCCACGCTGATTACCATTTTTTTGATACATGGTGATATGTGATATGTGGCATGTGGTGAATCTATCCATGACAAAACATGACAACATGGCTGCATAAAACAACACCCACAAACTTGCACTGTGAAAGACAGATTGTCATAAGGCATACATCAAGAATGGACTCTACCCACACTCCTGTCATACCTGGGATGGCTTTGTCGAGTTGGCCTTGGTCTCAGTCTCTGCTGTGGGGCATGCACGAGCCATATGGCCCACCTCATGACAGTTGTAGCACTCCACTGTGCTCATTGTGTTTGACAACAGGTGCTGTGGAAAAGATTGACACAGGGATCTGGTCATGGTTATCAGCAGATATATGTGACATAGGCTTATCAGCCTAATCTGAGACAGGAGAGCCCAGATCACACCTATGTACAAACATACACTAGAACAAAACCTGCAGTAGCTGTAGACAGTTCACATCCCCATGAACACAGCAATGCCCATGTCATGATTGGGGAATACAACACTGGGGTCTGAAAGCAATTTGGCCCCAGGCTTCTGAACAATATGCTGCTAGTCTCCAACACTGTGTTCATTTATATCACCTGTGTCACTTTGATGTTGTTACTAATAAACAAAGTACTTGTGTCATTTTGGACAAAGGTCCAAGATTGTGCTCATGCATCACACAACAAACTTTACACAAGCATCAAACATGGCATAGGGAGGAGTTCAATGACTAGGAGTTTCTACTCTCAATGACCCAGACCCTTTCTTTATAACTAAGGACTTCACTCATCTGAAGTTCATGGATAAATCACAATGTAGAATATAGAAATACACTGTGTGACAACATAATGATGTATCAACATGCAATGGTGTGACATAATGCTATTATGTTACACAAGCCCATGCTGTGACAATGTTATGCTAGCACACTGCTGTGCTAGGATGAACATAAGATAATACCGCACAGCAGTGTCATATGCCTTAGTATGATGCAATAGATCCATTGAATCACACTAGACACATAGCATATTAATATTCTGATTGTGCTGATGCATCACAAGCCTTTGTATGATTCAATACAACACCAAGTTGATCACAACATACACATTTAAAGCATAAGTGCCACAATGAGCCAACTGCCCCAGTTTTGTCCCTCTCCACACACATCAAAGGCATTGCTCAATTGGCAAATGCACAGATTGCAACATAGTTCATATTTGGTCTTAACTCGGGTCTCAACAAAGTGCCAAAATTTAGCAGCACACTCGACTTCTTTAATCTCTACTGATCAGATGAATTTCCAGCACATTCACCATTTTTGCTTTTTGTGCTTGCATTCCTCATCTCTGCAGCATGATCAGATACAACTACCTGACTATCTACAATAACAGCAGCCTACTTCTTTTATCACAGCTAATTATTGGCCACCAATAGCATAAAGATCTCCAGAAAGCTCTCTACCAATATGCATCATCTTGCACTGTCAAACTTTATTTACTCTATTTCAGACCACCTAACACGCCTCCCTCAACCAGCCTGCAGATGGTCATAGTGAGTTGTCTCACAGTCCAGAGCACTTCCACATTTGACAAGTTTAATAGCTTGCCTTGTAACAATGCTATAACAATGCTATCTAGCCTTATAACAATGTCATGTAAAACTGCAATATTCAAGTGTCCCAGAACTCAGCCCTGTGAAACCACATTAAGGACATCTTGTCCTCAAGGTATCATTCTTTTCAACAAATTTTATACTCGAATCATTCCATTATTTTGAGACACATTCCATCTATTTAGTGTAACAAGCAGAACCAACATGATGTTTACATCAAATGCAAAGCATTTTATGATAAGCCTATCGAACCACTCACAAAAATCAAGGTACACTTTATGAACCTTGAGGTTATCACTTGCATGCACAATCAGAGATAAAAAAAATGGTTGCACATTTAAGATGTACGATAACAATTCCTGTCATGTTTTGCAAGGACATTATTTCCATGGACTAATAGTGCTATACAAAAATTGTGTATATCATAAAGATTTCATAACAAATTTGGCCATCTTTTCACTCAAACTATGAGCAGTCTATGACTGAAATGTACTAAAATTTCATCCTGCTCATTATTTTTTAAGTATACAGTAGTTGCCAGCTTACTTTATTGCAAATCAATAGCAAGCATGCCAAATAATTCACAGACACTAAACCACTCACAATTAACACACCTTCTACTGCAGTATGAGTTAGGCACCAATAGGAAAACTACCATTCCAAAATGACCATGAATAAGTGGGAACTGTCACACTCTAATGTGCCTCATCAGCAGCACTACTCACATGATTCATATAGCTCAAAAATTTCCTATGATACATTTTTGACTCACTCCAGGGATATTTCTGGAGCCTTGGGTATATGTGATAGGGGCCAAATATATCTGCCAACCCCTAGGTTTCCAGCAGTGACAATGTGTTTGTTAAAGCTTTGCAAAAAATTAAAACACCATGTCCCAACCAGCTTTGCGTCTAGCTCTATATTTCGGGACACAGAGCGGTGAACCTGGACAAATCTAATCCTGCTTCACAGCGAAACACGGAAAAGTCGCTACAATGTTGCCCAAAGTGGCACTTGAGCCTCTAACATGAAACGTTTCGTTAAAATTTGCATGGTGATGTTGTTAACACTTCAAAAATCCACAGCAAAACACACTGAAATAACTGTACACAAACCTTCCTAGTTTTCAGACCGCTCGCGCGTTGCCGCCCACCTGTACCAAACGTGCCCAACGTGTTCGCCGCAGTTGGCCGTATTCGCCCAGTAGACCACAAGCGACGCAGAAGGGACGTTTGAAAAGCGAATAAAAAATGTGAATCGAATAACTTCAAAGAAAATTTGCTTTGCCAGTTAGAGTTGTGCTGAAATAAGCATATAGAGTACTATCAAGTTTAAAGCAGGACACCTCTCATAACGCCGAGGAAAAAATTGTAGAATAATTGCAAATGACCAGCGCTCATTTTAGCTCATGACCTGCCTAAGAGTCAGCTCCAATTTGTTACTGTCTTCTACTATTCGCTAAATGCCCCGGAAGCAGCGCTGCTCGGTCAGCAATTAAAATCGGAGGGGGTGAATCACGGTGTTCCGAAAATACAAGAACATTCTGAGGGACGTTAATGGGCTGGCTCTGTTGACTTGTTTGAGGAGAGTTATGGAGAATATGGCGATGGTGATTGGTAGGTGCTGAGACGGAGCTTGTACATACCAGTCATTTGGATTTTGCCGGGGACGCGTGCGGATTTGAAGAGTTACTTCCGCGCGACATCTGCAGCGATTAGATTGATTAGATTGCAGCCTGAGAGCGCTGGATTGGAGGCCTGGATCCCTTCAAACAACTGGAAAGTGTTACGCACGCATCGGTGTTGACTAAAGTGATGTTTTGTCTACATCAGCCATCTGGGTGTATAAATAAGCTGCATCCCTATTTGGAATGACTATTTCGGCAATACACCAGCGCGACTAGGTCATATAACGCCTGATCCCAGCCCGGCGTCGTGACATCTCCAGCCTCCGCATGAGGGTACACCTGTGGCGCCATACCTATCGGAGGCCTCGCATTCGGCGACAAGGTCGCTCCATGTGCGCGGACCAGGAAGCCCCGCTGGTGCCCGCGCCGCCGCTGCCGCTCGTCAGCCAGCTGGCAGGCTGTGTGGCTCAGTCCATCAGCCGGCCGCTCCCGCCGCTGATCTGGCACCCGCTCTCAGGGCGGGGCCGTGCCGCGGCGTCACGGCAGGAGGCCCCGGCTCCTCGCTGAGGGGCGGTCACCCCGCGCTGTCCTCCGCCTCTGCCGCTGATCTGATGCCCGCGTTCCGGGCTGGGCCGGGCCGCGGCGTCCACAGCGCTACTCCTACGGGTCCCGGCTCCCAGCTGGGTGATGTCACACGTATCATACGACACCGGCTCTCGCTGGTGTCATACCAGGCCAGCGGCGTAGCTAAGGGGGAGAAAAAAAAACACTTGCGGCCCATGACTCCCTTCGCCCCTGGAGACGGGGAATCTCTAGATCCAAAGCCTCAAGTATGTCTTGGCTGTTTAAGATAGCCATAGGACTTCTAAAACATAAACGGACCCTCGTGGTATCAAAATGGAACCTCAAGCCTAACAAGATCCCCGGTGCCAAAAATACACTTTCTATGGTGACCAAATGAGACCTCTTGGTCGAAAAGGTCCCTTGCCATGATTTGCCCCCCTCTTGAGCAAAATTCTGGCTACGCCGCTACCCCCCCCCCCCCCCCCGCCCCATGCACACACTGACAAAATCCTGGATTCGCCGCTGATGGGATGCATGTCATACGCCATTCGATCTGGAATGTTATACAAATTCCAAAATTGTTGCAAAAATGGTTGTCGGACAAACAAATCGAAAGATATTGACAATTTGCCTCTCAACCAATCGGCTTTCCATCTAATTGATGGTTTTCCATTAACTTCAACATGCGACACAATGACGTGAAAAATCGCCCCCTCGTTTTCCGTAAAATTGCTACAGGTCCAAAACACCAGAGACAACAGATGTTGCGAATTCAGGATAGGATCGACACCAGATCGATACTCGTCAATTACACCTTTAACACACGATGTCGGAAAAAAATACGAAGAGACGTTGTGTTGAAACTAGGGTACACTTATGCTAGCCGCCAATAGGCACACCAACTGTGTCAAAGTTTTCAAGTGAAAGAAGTTAGGTGATCAGCTTAGGTATGACGTCCTGTTGGGTGGTGTGTAGGTGGTATGATGGTGGTTAAGTAGTTAAGTGATACAATTTGTCCTCGCATTATTTCTCTTCGAAGCCAGCACGGGACCCAAGACCTGGAAAATTCCTATCCCTTCGATGTCTTTCGAAATCCGCGCTGGGCAAACTTCACATCGCATTTTTTCGTAACGCATGTATTCGCACGCAAGGTCCGCACACAAGTCTTCGCGTTGCATTTCTTCGTGCGCAGATTTTCGCATCGCAAATTCCTGCGCGTTAGTCTTAATACACAAATCTTCACATCCGCAAAACTTCGCATGTTTAGTTTTCTGTATCAGATGTCCATATGGTTTTTTTCTTCGCATCGCACTTATTTGTACATTTCCTCATAAATGCACTTCTTTGTACCGCATTTGCACGGTCACGCATTTGTTTGCACCGTATTCCTTCACGCACTCAACTCTTCACATCGCAGTTCTTTGCATTTCATTTTTACATAGCTTTTTACAAATCGTATTGTTTCGCGCACGCAGTCCTTGTCACGTCATGCGTGCACTGAGAATAGGAACAGGTAAGAACGTCGAAGTCACGTCACCCACAGCGAAGGTTACGTGCCCGCCAACCGAGACTGGTGTCCTGGGTTAGGTGGAGCGTCCCTGATACGGCGAGATTTCAACCTTCTGGGAAGCTTCCACTGAAGCTTTTGGTTTGAGCGTCGATCTCCCCGAAAACGGTGTATAAGCTCGGATATATTCCCTGTCGGTCATATGTTCAAGCACGGCAAATGCGCCCGAGGCCATGTACAGCCGGAGGTACAAACAGAAGAAATAACTGCCTTACATGTTAGAAGTACGTTTATCCCAGTGGTAGGTATATGCTCCGGCCGAACCTCACAGCCGTACATTTTGCCAGAGGTCCTCAGGCTTCTGGACGAATCGTAAGTCCCACGTGGGACGCACAGAAAACGTCTCAAATACACCCTGGATGGGCCGATCCGGTTCTTCCGTGACTCAGTTAAACGTTAAGTGTATAGGGAGACTGTGTTCGGCAACCAGTCGTCGCATTCGCCGGGTACTGGCTGACATGGACATGGAGGTGTCGCGTAGCAGGATGGGGTGGGAGAGCGCGTGCTTGTTACAGTGCGCATGAAGTGAACCGTGTTCTTCGCTAATGTGCCGCACTTAATAATGGGACATTGACTGTTATGCAGTTTCTGGTGTTTGAACATTGTTCAAGAAGTAGGCGAGGACCTGCTTCTTGCTTATTCTCCTCGTTGTTCTGATGTTCTTTCTCGTTATTCCTTTCTTCTCTTGATCCTTATGCATCATCCTTCAGCCTTGCCAGGAATAGTCACTCTGCGACCCCAATACATATGTTATGATGTACAGTCTACACATGACCCTGCGTAGCTGATACACGAACTGATTTCTCTGTTGTCTGTCCCCCGTACCTGCAGATCAGTTGGCAAAACGGCGATCGGCCTATTCTGACAAAAGCTTTTCCGTTCGCGCCCCCAAAGGCCGCAAGATTTAAACGATGAGCTGTTGCATTTATGATTATTTCGACACAATTTTCCGATTTCGTGAAACTGTGAAGTGGGAATGCTGTTTTGTCAAATTTCATATCTGTGAATTTGCATTCCCGTCAAACTCATACACTAACCCACTACCCGGCCAAGCCCATCTAAACCCATTCCCCGCCTCTTCCCTCCAGCAAGACTTGCAAATTGTAATAGCTGCAATTGGAAGAACGAAACGCGTAAAAAAGGGACTCACATAATTGTGTATGCTAAGAGATGCGATACGAATATTTGCGTGTGTCCGTGCAGAGTCCTTCGTGTTTAAAGAATTGCTATACGAAGAAGAGAAAAGTGCACGAAGAGGTGCGGTTCGAAGAATTGCGTGCAAGAAGGGTTGCGGATGCGAAAAAAATGCAGTGAGGCGAAATGTGATGCGAAGAACTACGTCCACCAAGTTGACGAATACGAAGTGTTGCGTTACAAATATTAAGATCTACGAATTTCTATACGCTTACGAATCTTTGCGCACGAAATATTGTTATACGGTGTGCGATATGAAGATTTAAGTACGATTTTTTGCGAACGAAGAAATGCGTTACGAAAGATAGGATCTGAAGCTCTGCCCTGGAACCTTCGAAATCGCTTCACTTCAGAACATACGTCAGTAACGCGGCGCTAATGTAGGAGCTACCTCGAGGTGGGATATAGACCATGGGGACTAGATGAGCCGCAAGATCCGCGACATGAACAGATTTGACTCCATCCACCAGGACGCGTATACGTTGTCGTCGCCAGGAAAGTACCTAGGCGAGCGGAGAATGCCGGTGTGCAGATGGTTGATGAGCGCTGCGTTCGGGTGACTGATAGATGATCATGAATGGTCACCAAGCAGTGTGACAGCGGTCTGATTTTTGGCATTACGCAGGTGTCCATTAAAACGCAGGTGCAAGCTTTGCTTTGCCTCGCCAATGTAAGTTGCGTTGGTGGGGTTGCATGGGATCTGAAGAGTGACGTTCTTGGTGGCACATCGATCTTTCAGCTCGGCTTTACAGGTGGTGGTGGATGCTTGATTCCCGACTGGATAGCGAGGTCGCTCTAGTACAGAACGGACCGAATCTTTCTTCAATGTGTTTTTGTTGTTTGGATTTTTCTTCAGGCCTTGAACCTGTCTCGCCACAAGGTCATTTGTAAATCTATGCGGTCATAACAGTCATTGTAAAGTTGTGGCTACCGCATACCAACAAGGCAACAACTTGCTCATAAAGACAGTCTTTTTCAGCCTCGAAACAAAACAAACTCACCCATACGTCATTTCATTTATATTTATTGCGACGTATAAGTTCGGTGGGAAAATCGGGTCGAATGATCGCTTTGTTTCCGATAGAAAATGTCAGAGCACCTGAATTTGTGCGACAGACGCGCGCACACACTAGGTGCCGTCAACGCTAAATAACCTCGTGATGGGTGCCGTGCTCATTTGCGAAAGAAGACTGATGGGCTACGCGTGTTCAGCTAACATTGGTTTGACCGGTTGTTAAAGCTTGACCTAAATGGAATCGGCCTTACTAGCTGAAAACGAACTCCAGGCAACCGTACACGTCACATCCTTCCTATAAGTCATTGTGGCAGCGCATAATATTCGGCGAAGCGCCGCCGAGCAGCGCCGGCTATCTGCCGGAACTCCCGAACTCTCTTGGGCGCGTTCCCGGTAGACAGTTCGCCTTTCTCCGCGGACGGCGCACGCAGCGGCCGCTCCGCGCCCCGGCCGCGATTCCCGGCAGCAGCGGCGGCGGCCGGCTCTCGCCGCCGCTGAGTCAGCCGGCCGGCCGGCTCCTACTTATGCGGCCGCCGCAACCGGCCGCGTCAGTCCCAAGTGGAGCGCGCGAACGGTGACGTCCGAGGCTCCGCCAGTCCGAGACGAATACCAAGGTGAGCGGCGCAGTGGGAGCGGCTTGTTCAGCAGGCTGTCGAGACAATTATTTGAAGGTCGCAAATGTATAGATTGCATTTGTCCTAACGAATTTGGACGTTTATGCTTGCAAGCGCCAGAGCTGCCGTGTTTTGGTGGGGATTAGGGGGCCCGATTCATTCCAACTTTTGCAGGGTTCAGCCCTGAGCTGCCGGTGCATGAGAGGCACAGATCGAAATGCCTCTGAGCCTCTTCCCGCGATTAAATTTTCGTCAAACGCTCATGCTCCTGCATACGTTTAACCGCAGTTCGCGCGTCGCTATTTATGGATTAACCAAGTCACTTAACCAGTCGCGCGGATTGGAGGCCCCCTCGGACGCCGGTGTGGCGGTACCATATCTGATTATTCACCGGAGCGATCAGCTGCCTCCCGAAATCGAATTGACGTCTGATCACTGGGGGCAGGTGGCAGTTTCTATATGCTCTTGAAGAACGCATTTGCTGAGTACCGGGCCCGCGCTTTGATTAGCCGGGGCGGGCTTAATGTGTGATCCAAGCCATGGCTTATCTCCTAAAAGCCGAATAAACGCGGCTTGAACGCGCCGCATGATCCACCCTGGGCCGTAGTGGGGTCCGGCACTGCTGCCGCGACTCCGGTCGGGACCTGACTCCCTCGGGCACTGCCTCGGCCTGGGTCGGACTTCTGTTGATCTTGTCAGCTCACCGACGCCGGCGAGAAGCTGGGATGCGTGACTCGGCTGCCGGCCGATGGTGAGAACGAGTTGTTCAGTGGCCCCAGTGAAGCTCCGTCCTTAGGGATGCCGCAGTGGTTCTTCCCTCTCGTGTGATCTGGTCATTTCGGCGATGCTCCGAGCTTGTGCTCGGGTGAACTCAGTAACGTTCGTCCCCGTGTGGCCTGGCACCTCGGTGACGCTCCTCTCGTGTGATCTGGTGACCAAACTCCCGAAGGTGCAGAAACAGGGGCTTCAAGTGGGCCACGACCCAGCCGCTTTTTGTGAAGATGTGACACTGACATTGACTACTTAAGAAATGAGTTCGGCCCGTCACCTTTTTGGTTGTTTCTACGCCCCTGCTTCGTTCATTGAGACCTGGGGCCAGTCTGCAAAGTCGGATAGCTTAGCACTTGTCGGTGCCCACTTGTCATCGGCCAAGTGGGCACCTCTGAATGATACATGTCTAGTTTCTAACCCAACACACCCTAACACCCACCGACAAAGTTGTTTCGGTTGTTTGTTGAAAGGTGTTGGTGGCCGGATCACGCAGATGTTCATGACGTCACTCAATCACGGTGGCTCTCAAAGGGAAGGCGCAAGTGCATTGCTGTTTCATAGGACAAATGACGCCAAAACCTTGTCTGTGATGAGGTGCAGTCTCGAAGGCCAATGTCATCGTCGGATTACTGACGAAAACGATATGCAATCTTAGCAACTTTAGCGAGCAATTTAGATAAATGCTAGAGTTTTGCTGACCCGTCCGACCCCACTCTTGCAAGATTATAGCTCTGCGGCTGATGCATCCGCATCTGCACCGTTGCATCGCTGCACCGCTGCATCGACGCTATATTATCGTTCGCTTAACGATATTGGCTGTCAGTCAAAGGAACACTCTTCCAAAGGTCACCACGCCATCCAACTCCATCACCTGGATGTCGTGGTGACCACAATGACCCTCCTTCCTTGTGGCATTGAGACCACAGTGACGCTCCGTACCCCGTGCCCTTGCAAGCAACGTGATGCGTCGCCTCTTGTGGTCCGGTGGCCACAGTGATCCTCCATCCCGCGTGATCTCGTGACCTTAGTATGACTCCGCCCCATGCACTGTCGTGAGCCGTCCGTGACCGTGTGGCTCCCACAGATGAAGAACGCGGGAAGCCTGCTGCTGGTGCTGGTGGCCGCTGTCTGCGTGGTCTCCGTCCACCCCATGCCGGCCGAGCCGCTGCCCTCCGAGTCGGAGCCCTCGTCCAGGTCAGCCGAAGGCCTCTTCTACCGGGGCTCTGCTGGCCTGCCCCCACCCCTCCTCGCTCGCTGGACGAGCCGTTATATGACCGCAGCAGAGCCCTCGCACAGTGGTCACGGCCCTCACGCCCAGTGCAGGGTCACGCCGTGGTGCTGAGATTCCGCGAATGAGGAATCTTAGTATCGCGAAATATTATGCGTGCGGTTGGCTGTCCGGGTAGTGTGTGCGCACGCTGGTCACGTGACGTGCTGGCCGTGGTTGTTTTACCGCCAGCTGCTATCCGTCAAATCTGTTACGGAGAAGACTGACCAGCTGGCGAGTGAATCACTGACCCCGGTCCTCGATGTCATAACATTTGGACCTGACGTCACGGCCAATCATGCGTCGGGAATGCCAGCCGGCCATGGCCTCGTCCGCAGGATAAAATCGCATATTTGCTTCAATACGCTCAGCTTTCGTTGCACTTACCAGGCAGGCGATGCAGCCATTCTTTCGTCTGTAATCCACGAAAGCTGTTGTGGTATTTTGCAAAAGAACTCATCATTGTACTGGAGCAGCTTTATCTGTGTGAACTCGAGAGTCAATATTGTGATTGCCAGCTGTACAACCTATCGATGAGGATTACACAGATCTGTCCACAGAAACGTCAAAACGTATTCCGAGAGCGCGCGTGACGCCCCTGTGTTTGTGACCTCAATGCACGCATAATAAGCCGCCGGACTCCTGCTGCAGTGGCGGTCTGTTTGGCCTTGCCTCGCTGGATGCGCTGACCGAGCGGATCCACGACTGGACGGCGCCCCTCCGTGACCTGTTCATGGAGACGGTGCAGAACAAAACGGTATCGGAGGTGGCCATCGAAGCCCGTAATGCCACCGTCAACTTCGCCGTCCGCGTCAAGGACATGGAGGCCGTCCAAAGCGCCAAGGTATGAGCCGCAATACCGCGTTACGCACAGGCTGGTCGGGCCCCGCTGCGAACACGCAGGGTAGCTGTGGCCATGCGTGGATGGATACAGTGGTTCGTCTCACCGCACATTGCGGCTGACCGCGACCACAACGGCTCCTGTTGCGTCATATATGCGTTGCGTGCGGTGTAGCGCTTTGAGGCCGGGGCAAGCAAGCCTGGCAGACGACACGCGGCCTGAACTTTGGACCGCTGCAGGGCATTGGGGCCGGCGGCCGAGCGTCATGAACGCTGGGCCGTCACCTGACCCGCGAGCCCGCCTGCTCGTGATCGGTGCCGACCGGCGGAGGCGCGCGCCACGTCACGGCAAGTCAGCACCGGACGTGACCCGCGCCCAGCCGTCCGAGGACCGTTCGCAGCCATTTCCCAAACCGGTCTCGCTTCCGCCCACGGCCCAGCCTTTGTCCTCGCTCCAACGGCCACGCACCACAGCGGTCGATCCGTGCCGTGACGTCCGTCACACCCACGCCCAGCGAGGTCACACTCCGAAGGTCATTTAGGCACGATGGGTAGTGTTGATACGCTGACGCCGGCGATCGACGCCCGCGTTCAGATCACATGTTCAAGGTTGGGTAAGGTCGTATGATGCAATACTCCGATAAAGCCCAGAATAATCCAGAAATGTCCACCACAACAAGCTGCCTTCTCAGCCTGGGTGTCGGCTGCTTACTTCCTCTCAATTAACGATGGCGGTCTACGTTAACATTAAAGGAGTTTTTTTTGTGAGGCAGCCAGCCCATTATCTCTGGACTAGAGAGGACTTGTAACTACGATAATTTATTTCAAAGTACCGTAATTCCAAGTTATCATTCGGGTCCGCTTGTTCCATTACGTGCCTATCACGAACGACACAGGTCGATCAGTGGAACCCGTCACGGTCTGAACAAATCCATGCATTTAGGACTCATCCTGTATTTGACTGTACGGGACTCGAAAGTAACGAGCGACAAGAATAAGGTTTGCGTGCATTCAAAGACAGACCAGCACACGTGTTTTGATGTATATCGCCAAGGAAAAAATGGTATGATGGGCTGAGCCGGATCAAATTGGGTCTGATAAAAGTGCGTATTGGTTGATGGGTTTAAAGTGCAGTTATTGTTTTTAATTGCACCGAATTTTGTTCAAGTGCTATGCGGTCACACTCACCATGACAACCATGAAATGGCCATCTGCTTGGTTATATTCGAGGGCACGCCGTAACTGGAAAGGATTATCGTCGATAAGTTATACAGCCATTGTACGTGGCAGGTCGCTTTTCTTCATCCGGTACGGAGGGGTCCTCTAGAAAGTCCCCTTAAATCGCTCACTGTGGCACAAAACGACTTCGAGCACACACATCCTCCAGAAAAAGGCCACTAAGCGCCTTTCGTCTCTCTCTGAACTCTTGCTCTACAGCTTTGTCTTTAAGGCTCACCACTTGGAGCGACACTTCGCGCTCGCAACATTGTGGATGGATCGCCTACGGTGATACAAGCCACAAACTGACTGAACTGTAAATGTTTGAACTGCACCACGGCTGACGGCCATGTCCGGCTTGTGCCGCAGGACGCCATCTCCCCGGTGGTGAGGATGTTCGAGCAGGTGCGCGACAGCGTCAAGGACAAGACGCTGCAGCAGCTGGCCGACGAGGTGAAGACGCACCTGGTGCAGCTGGACCGGACCGTGGCCAGCTTCATTCGCGACCTTCGGCACAGACGCCGAGACCGACTCCACCGCGCCGGCCGCGCAGGTGCCTCAGCAGAGTGTCGAGCAGGCGGCCGAGGAGAGCAACGCCATCGGCACGGAGACGTTGTGAGCGGCGCCGCCAGGTCCCGAGAGGCGAGCGGGCCGACGCGGGCTGGCGGCTCCGGCAGCACGGCGGAAGCGTTGCCGGCCGGGCCGGCCCGTGCCGCCACACCGTGCATGGAGCGAGAGCTGTGAACTCTGGACGACTACAGGGACTGTACATGCGAGTGCGGCGGATCATGTTTGTCGGACAGGCCGTGGTTGTTTGCGGAGCCTGGGAGCAGAACATCATTGTGAGGCATTCATTGCATGGCATACTGTTTACACTGGTCTGTGTCGTAAGACAGCACCGTTGTTTAACTGTTTTGAGAGGAATCCGGTACAAGGCGTACACGGGCACTGTGAATCATGTGATCATTGTATGGACTTGCTACACCATGAATTATCGTTGCATTGGCTCACGAGCTATGCGGAGCGTCGTCGAGTTCTCTGAACAGTGTGGGGACTTCTGACCCCGCTAGAGTGTAACATACACGATTCGTCAGATATAGACAGAATAAATCTGACGAAAGCGTTGCTGATTGATGTCTTTGAAATCACCCAAGGCAGAAAACGAGCTATCCCACGATCATTTTCAATTCGCGTGCACCGCTTCACTGAGTGCAGAGTGACTCATCACCGAACCTTGCCGTCTATAATACTCCTCGCCAGCAAGCCACGGCGAGAAGAGGAGAATCGCTCTTAGGAGGTTGCCCTCTCTAGCAAATGGGCGTGGGCCGTGACACTAGCGGATGACCCGGTTGGTTGAATGTGTGCCTCTTTGTACCGTGCCAGCGCAATACGCCTCAGGCACAACTGCGATGTCCTCAGATTGGCACAATATCTGGTGGATAAACTTCCAGCGTAACCGCGCTATACTTCATTGCTGCAAGAGCTACACTCGACAGGAAAGCCGGCAGTGGTATCATCGCAGACTTGAGCGGGCTGGGGATTGCAAAACGTTCAGGATTTTGTAGACAAATATTTCTGACATCAAACCACAAAGTGAGAGAAATTCGCAGTTTTTTCCGTAAAAGTTCAGGTGTGTTCAGGGATAATAGTGTTCCTCAAGGTCTGCAAAGAACCAGGCTACCCAGGAAAGCCAACACCCGTCCCTGCGCTTGGGCCTTAAGCCTCACGAAATCAAGAGCTTCTTTGCACGACCATGGATCTCCCGCCAAACATCGGGGGGCGCACAGTCCGCGTCAGTGGACTTCGATGCTGTCTGTGCCTGAGCCCCGTCAGGATGTCTGGGGGAACCGCAGCAGGTTCAGGCTTCGGGAATAATTAGGGCCACTGGACAAAATGACTCCAAGATGAATAATGCCTGTCATGAGCAGATTGAGACGCCATTGTAAGATCAAATATCAAGATGCCCGGCCATCCATCCCTTGTCCTCGGTCTCCAGTCCATCCTGTATACTCGGAACCTCTGGTTTTATCGAGAGCATGCCGCCATCGCCAGCCATGGGTCGGCCCACGGCCCATTCCACGTCCATGTACTCGGGTTATTCAATATAAACTTGAGGGTATCGCTGCCAATTGTCACGGAGATTCAACAACGTGGCGGCGGTCAGGAAAGTCAGACACGTGTATACATACGAGCATGCGATCGTACCCGTGCGAGCGTTGCTATCGTGTCACCGGGTCGTGTCGCTGTGTCACTGTGTCGTGTCACTGATAACACGACGCAGCGGCTGTCGAGTAAAGGTCACAACCGGTAGATGCTTGAGGTCACGCGGTCGTGCGCAGTAAAACTTGGGTGCGCAGGAGGAAAACGACGTTTCTTCCTCTCAGCGCGGGGCCGGGGTACAGAGAAGCCATTGCAATGTCTCGTGAGTCGCAGGGGGACATCAGCCCAGGTCCGTAATTCGTCGGCCAGCGAACCAGGCCCTCCATACCGGGGCACCAGCTGTGAGTGAGGGTACTGGTGTGGTGCCTCGCTAAATCAGCACCTGAGTGAGCCAAGCAGAGCCTGTTTGCTCTTGTTAGAAGCTGCTCCCGCGCATTCGCACACACCCCGACGTAGGCCATGTCCCTGTGAGGGATAGGGGATAGGGCTCGGTAACGGTGATAGTGTAAGCCGGCTAAGACTCTACCCTATTTATTGAATCTCTCCTGAACTATTTGGTTCTTAAGTGGTTGGGCTCAAGCTGATCCAAAAAGGACGACTAGCAGTCACCAGCAAATGCAGTTACAAATTATGACCAATTTCTTGTCGGCCAAGGCATCCCTCGAGACGCCTCCTCATTACTGAGACGGCCCGCACCGCCAGAGATCATCAAGAAGCGGACAGTCAGCCACCTAGACCGGGATTTGCCGTTGAATCGAGGTAGCGGTAGAAAGGGCGACGAAGGCCATCTTCATTCCAACATCTCACGTAATCGTCGAGCAATAAACGTGCACGCGATGAAAGCATGGCAAATTGCTGTTTGCATAAGTCGATGTACCCCGCTATTACGTATAAAGCACATAAAAATGATTTTCATAAGGAGCTGAGGGCGGCATTGGCTGCCTCAATAGGAAAAATTATAATCTTAGAACGACACGTACCCATCTGGCAAGTTAGGACTAGTGTTCCGATTTTTCAAAATAACCTCTGAAGCATTTGAGGCGCACCCTAATAATTGCCAGCACACGTCTAGTAAATGTGACGCATGTACAGCGTCGCTTTGGCGCATTCAAGCTGGATCATCGATGCTAGGTCAGGTCACAGAGGCCACCAGCGGGATGCAGTCACTCAAACCGCCTGAGGGCTCTGAGTGGGTTCGATCGACCGGGGGCGCCCGAAGTTACTGTTTCAGTTCTCTGGCTGGGCCGTTTTATTTTACCACTTGAAGGTAATCGGAGCGCCATCTCATAACTCGCTTGTTTTAGTTTGTACTGTTCGAATCGCTCTAGAGCAGGCGTCAGTGTTGACAGGTCCCTGTGACACGTTACACTGAGGGACTGAGTATAGAAGCTGCGCGGCTCAAGCCTCTCCAGCTGAATGTGATCCTGCACCTGCGGTCATCAGTGAAGGCTTGTGCGACGGTCGGGCTTTCGAAGGCAGCAGTCCGAAGTTGCACATCTTGTTCTGAATTGCTATGATGCAATTCACTTTGACTTCGGATTGACTTTGTGTCGATTAGAGGCAATCATGCGACGCGGTCATATCGGGTCACCAAGTCATGGCAGGCTAACTTAAATATTGACAAACCCGTGATGTCTGCTTTGACAAATTAGTCAATAAACGAACGCATATTGCAAATCAGAAACTACCGAGTGCGTCATGGTAGATCACAGCGGACCAAGCGAAACAGAAAACTGGACAAATCCCATACCGCCTACTGAGGTCACCATTGCAATACGAATGTCATAACTGGCGAAAACGCTGGTCGTTGTGAGAGGCGAATCTCCCTACGAAATACACCATGAGGCTATAAATGATAGTATTGATATGTTGGGCTGGAAACGACAAAAAGCGAATGATGACAAACCACGTGAAAACGTTTAAGTCAGTAACAGTTTATTTCAATGAATGCACACTGACCTGGTCTTGAAATGACTTCAGCCTGAGCTGAAATGACACTGAACCCTGACCGCTGCTAAAATGCCATCATTTTCCCGCCGCAGAAGAGGCTCTCTCATTTCAGCGTTCGTCAAATTTGCTCATTCAAAACCAGCGTCTCTCATTTCAGCGTCCATCAAATTTGCTCATTCAAAACCAGCGACAAGATGACAACACATGCGCGCCACTTTTGTCGTAACTATAACGCCGTTTCAAATCCGGTAAACTCGCCGCCGCCTGAGTGGTGAAGTGGGTCGGAGCTCCTCAGCTCCATCGGGCGCGTTCATCGCAGGCTTTTCTCCGCCGGCGGCTGTGTACGAGTGGCCGCTCGGCCCCGGCGGTCGTGATTTGCAGGAGCGGCCGCGGCACACTGATGCCGCTTTCTGCAGCCGTCCCAGGCGGTGTCACTTGTCCCCCTTTGCCGGCCTTGACTTCGGTGCGGGTGCAGCAGTCGAGTCCAGCTCTCGCCGCCACTGCAGTCACCCGCCGGGCCAGCTCCCGCCTCCCCGTGCGGCGTCGGCCGCGACAGTCCGGAGCGGGGCGCTCCCCGCAACGCTATTGGCTCCCGGCCAGTCTGAGAGCGCTCTCGAGGCAAGACGCGATCAGAAAGCTGAGCTGGGCCCGCAGCGCGCGCTGTCCCCGAAGTGCAGGCCACTGCGGTAGTGCCACCAGAGGGGCATAGTGCTGCTAGGGAATAACGCTCACGTCGCTCGTCGCGGCTCATGCCATGTAAACCAGCCTACCAGTCGCACTGGGTCGAGAAACTTCGCGACGATCTTTTGATAGCTGTTACCTTTTATCACAGCTGATCCATTCACCGATATTATTGAACAAACGAGATAAATGGTCGAAGCGCGCGCAGTGAACTAGCGTCCGGCCATTGCGCTCAGGAGGATTGTACTGGCACGTGCCTGCAGGCTGCGGGCTCGGGAGGATTGTACTGGCACGTGCCTGCGAGCTGCGGGCTCGGGAGGATTGCACTGACACGTGCCTGCGGGCTGCGTCGGACATTGTATTTACAGGGCTGTTGTGTGACCTAACGAGATCAGAGTGACAAATACCGCTGAACAGGGCCTTAAGTTGCCAGAGTGATTCAATGAGTGGGAATTGAGAACAGGCCGCAGCTTTGTATCCGGCCCGCGTCTGCACCGGACCCTGACTCACTGCGTGTGGGGCGTCCCAGCGGGATGAACTCGCTATCTCCCCGCCGGTCGCTCTGTGGACCGCCGACCCCTTAACCCCACGGTCATGTAGCCGACAGCGACGAGCGCTCTGAATCAGCGCCGCTGACCGCCACATCTGGCGACAGTGATGACTGGCCGTGACGACTGTGAGGCCTATGTGGCCACACTAACGCGCCAATCTTGGATGCTTCCTTGCGATCTGGTCACTATGGCATTCCATGGTTCCGTGTCGTATAATATCGAGATGCATATATGTCACGTGTGTGATACGACATTGGCTCTTCTGAAGCGACACACTTCATTTATTTCTGGTGACCAAAATAACGTTCCATCCCGTGCCACCCGCGGCAGTTGACCGCAATTGTCAATTGTCAGTTGGCAACGACAGTAATCTTGGATGAGAGAACACGGTGAGACTCTGTGCGGCGTGATTCATATGGCCTGGAGACCATTCATTCTCCGTGGAGTGTGATCTAGCGATCACGCCAACGCTCCCGTAACACTGACGTGACCACTGTGACGTCCCGTCACGTGTACTCTGATCGTCACAGTGACGCTCAGCCGGCGTGATCCGATGGCTCGTGACATTCCGCCCAGCGTGACCTGACCGCCACAGTGACACTCCGCCCGGCGTGATCCGATGGCTCGTGACATTCCGCCCAGCGTGACCTGACCGCCACAGTGACACTCAGCCCGGCGTGATCCGATGGCTCGTGACGTTCCGCCCAGCGTGACCTGATCGCCAGTGACACTCCGCCCGGCGTGATCTGATCGCCACACCATTCCGCCCAGTGTGATCTGATGGCTTCAGTGACACTCCGCTAAGCGCGATCTGATGGCTTCAATGACAATCCGCCAAGCACGATCAGATCGCCAGTGACACTCCACCCAGCGTGATCTGATTGCCAAAATGCCATTTCGCCCAGTGTGATCTGGTGGCTTCAGGGATACTCCATGCCACCAAATACGATGCAAAGCCTCAAAAAATTGACCAAGGTTGTAAACTCTGGGTTTGCCGCGGCGTACAACCAGCAATGCGTGCAAGAAAACCTGTTCAAGAAATACTCCAATGTATGCATATAATATATATATATATATATATATATATATATATATATATATATATATGCGTGCGCACGTGCGTGTGTATCTGGCGCACAGCGGCTGCTGTACGGGCCGCCCAGCCAACTTGTGACAACGCCACAACAGACGCCATACTGGCTATACTCTGACCGAACAGGCCAGCCTCCATCCACTCGCCGCCGACCAAACCGGCCACCAGTGAAAACAGGCCGCAGCCAGCCTGCTTGCCAAACCGTGTATTGCGAACCGATTTGGTGATGATAATGATGAACAGAGCGATGACGTGGCGTTAAGACCATCCCGGAAGGAGAATGGATAGTTTCGATACGTCCAGCGAACAGCACTCCACCATTGCGTGCGCAAAACATGCACTCTCTGCTCCCGTCACAATCACAGAGCTCAGGGGAGCCGGCCCTCTGCCACTCCCGACATCTCCACTCCGCCGAGCGACCCTCCCCGCCGCCGGCCTCGCTCCGACCAGCACGCGGGCCGGGCGGGACAGCGGCCTGACCCGCCGTGGGACAGCCGTCCGGCGTCCGCCCTGCGTCGCGATCTATCAGCCGACGAGCGGACCCTGACCCCGGCGCTGCAGCCGCCCGGCCGGGGGGCAGGGGTCAGCCGCCCGCCGCGCCGGCCGCTCCGCACGGACCACCAGCGGCGGCCGGCCACTCAGCTGTTGAGCACCATCATGCGCGGCGCGATGTTCATCGACATGAGCTCCTGGAACAGCAGCTTGCACGCGTACGGGATGCGTACCTGCGAGATCTGTGGGCAGAGGCGGCGCCGTGTCACAGACGCACAGACGCCGACACCGACGCGGACGCGGACGCACGCACGCACGCACGCACGCACGCACACACACACGCACGCACGCACGCACGCACGCACGCACGCACGCACGCACGCACGCACGCACGCACGCACGCACGCACGCACGCACGCACACACCACACACACACACACACACACACACACACACACACACCACACACACACACACACACAACACACACACACACACAGCGCGCGCGCGCGCGCGCGCGCGGAGACAACTCAGCCGGCGGCGGCGGCGGCGGCGGCGACGGCGACGAGCCGCGCACGGCGTCTGAGCCCCCTCCCTCCGAACAAGCCTCCGCCAGGCTCGGGATCAGATGAACGTGTGGCGTCCCGGCGAGGGTAACACGTGTCAGCTCTTGGCTGGCAGCGGACCGGAAAGGCGTGATCGTCACGGGCCGGCCATTACACAGCCACGCGACAACCGGCGGCAGGAAACGGGCAGCTCCGGCGGAGGTGGTGGCGCCCTCCCGCCGGCACGCACCTGAGTCTTGTTCTTGCAGCCCTTGCACTCGAACGTGTTGTTGCGAAGGTTGGCAATGCAGATGACGCCGCAGAAGTTGCAGACGTGCACGCGGTACGGGTCGCTGACCTCGAACAGGCGCTCGCGCAGGAACTGGGCGGCGCCGTGCGCGATCTGACAGTCGCGCTCCATCTCACCGAACCGGAGCCCGCCGTCCCTGTTGGGCACCGGTCGCCGGTCACGCGGTGCGCGTCACGACGCGTGCGTGAGCAACACGTAGGCCTTGCCAACCGACCAGTTCATGGACCATAGCGGCAATAGCTTACGAGGCATCAATCCTCGGTTACCGGCACCTTATCACCGGCCAGGCGACACCATCACAGATCACTAGGTCACCAGTCACAGATCACAGGTGACGGTCAGCCGGCGGCGCGTCCTCGCCACTCCGAGCCGGGGGGGGGGGGGGGGGGGCGGACGGCTGGCACGGCCTGCGGCGAGCGTACCGGGGCCGACAGGAGCCGCTCACCTGGCGCGGCCCTCCATCGGCTGGCGCACCAGGATCTGGACGGGCCCGCGCGCCCGAGAGTGGATCTTGTCGTCCACCATATGCTTCAGACGCTGGTAGTAGGTGGGCCCGAGGAAGATCTGCGCCTGCATCTTGCGACCCGTGTGGCCGCAGTACATGATCTGCGGGGGCGGATGAAGGCAGAGGGGGGGGGGGGGGGGGCAGACTGAGTCAGAGCAGTGTCGGGGGCTGCGACGGCCGAAACCCCGCTGGACACTCCACCACAGCGGGAAGTGACGACGCCCAGCCGCGATGAGCTCGATCTCACCACGTCGTGTGAGGACGGACCACGGACACAGTCAGGAAACCGCGATCAAAGGCAATGCAACGCTCCTGGAAAACAGCATGCTATTTTGCGCTTGCTACCTTCATTTTCCCCATTGCAAATAGTAGCTACATGTCCTTTCGAGATCACTCACGTCTGATCTGAATGGCCTGTCCAGCATGCAGCATCGCACCAGCTCAGCGAGGTGACACTATCGACATACGCCCGCCAGTTCCCGGTAGAAGGCAAAGCTGATGGTGCGACCCGCTCCGCCCGACGCCGCCCGACCGACCGACTGTGCGGGCCGCCCCGGCTAGCGAGGTCAGGCGGGCTAGGGCGGACGGGCGCCGGCCGTACCTCGTTGCCTCGCAGGTGGTATCCGTAGTCTTTGAGCAGCTCCGACACCTTCTGCACGTTGACGGCGTCGTTAAAAGGCGTGGCGTCGCCGATTTCGCCCTTGTTCGCCGAGACCTGTGTGAGAATTAAAAGACGTTTTTAAATGGCCTTCACCAGATCTGTCCCACAGGGCCTGGAGGAGCATCTAAGACGGGCGACATAACGCCGCTGAGGGTGGGAACACTGTAGCGCTGTGCAGAACAGCACTTGCCTGCTCCGATCACAGCGGGTCGGGGGTTAACGTTGCAGCGGGATTTCTCTCGTCAGCGCGCCCTACGTGCACCAGCGCGGCGTCCGCCGCGACCCGTCCTCACCTTGCCCTGGAGGCACTCGATCAGATGGCCGATGGTCATCCGAGAGGGGATGGCGTGCGGGTTGATGATGATGTCGGGCGTGATGCCCTCAGACGTAAACAGCATGTCCTCCTGCCGGAACTGGATACCGCACGTACCTGCCGGCGAGGCGGCGGCCGTCACACGCCTGCTCACTGTAGCACCACGTGCTACCAGACACTAGACAAGGGGAGACAATACACAGCGGGAGACACTAGACGGCGGGAGACAATACACAGCGAGAGAATACACAACAGGAGACGATACGCAGCAGGAGACATGACAGCTGTGCTGGCCACGCGCCGCCCACGCTATGTGTCTCAGGCGACACGCGGCTTCTACGGCGGACAGCCGACCATCAACCGGCGCCATCCGCACACGAACATCGCACGACAAAACCTCGTACTGTAATTGCCACAAACAGGAGCCATCTGTGACTCTAACGGCCATAACGATTTGTGGGCCTTGCGCCAAAACAAACCGAGCGTGCGGACAACGCTGACGGTGACCCAGCGTCAGCTCCATGCGGGCAGCTGACACCCGCACGGCGGCCGGGCCTGACGCCGCTCACCCTTCTGCCCGTGCCGGGAGGCGAACTTGTCGCCGATCTGTGGGATCCGAATGGAGCGCACGCGAATCTTGGTGAACTTGTAGCCGTCGTTGTTGAGCGTCAGCATCACCTGGTCGACGATGCCCGTCTCCGAGTTGCGGAGGAAGGTGGAGGCGTCTCGCTTGGTGAACCGCTTGGCCGATCCCTCCAGCTGCCGACGGGAGCCGCGGAGGTGAGACACGCTCGCGCCGACGAGGGCACCCGGACGCCGTACATAGAGGCTCCGCCACCCGCGGCTCACAGTGGCGCTCCCCTCAGTCACGACCACGCCTTAATTTCGGCTATGGAGGCAACGATACACAAACCTAACACGAACCCACCGAGTCCGGGTCCATACGAGCCAGCGTGTAAAGAGCACACCGACTCGGAACACGACATTCCGTCCGCCGGCGGCGGCGCCACCAGCCGACGCCGCGCACCCACCTCGTCGTCATTCTCGGGCAGCACGATCGTCTTGCCGATGATGACGTCATCGCCGGAGACGCGCACGCCCGGCGCCACGATGCCGTCGTCGTCTAGCTTCTCGTAGATGGCGTTGCGCATGCCCTGGCACGTGTCGCGCGACGGCCGCTCGAACGTCTCCTCCTGGTCTCCGATCTTCTTCGTCTCGGCGTCCTGTCCGCGACCGGTGGTGACGTCACAAGACGGGACGGTGACGTCACACAAGGGAGCTGGGACACAGCGGCCGTCGTGATCATGCGTTGGGAGTTAACGCTCGTCGCGTTGGCCGGTGGTAAACTCAGCAATGCGAGGGGCTCACAAACAGGCGGCACAAAAACGGGCGAAGTATGGCGAAAAGGCGCGTATCTGGTGGGCACAGTCACCACCCGCGAAATCCAGCTATGCACACCGAATCAACTACGCTGCTCCTGGACAAATACAGACCGCTCCGTGGTTTAGTTTACTCGTGCGCTCATCACCCGGCAGCAAACCACCGGTCGACTGAGCTCCGGTCACCTCCCCGACCGCGTCTGTCGAGGCCCCGGTTCCGGTTCTGCGCGGCGGTCCGCACCGCGCCAGGCCCACCTTGTAGCTGCGGTAGAAGCAGGAGCGGAAGAAGCCGCGCTCCACGGCCGAGGCGTTCATGACCACCGAGTCCTCCTGGTTGTAGCCGGTGTAGCAGGCGATCGCCACGATCGAGTTGATGCCGGCTGGCAGCTCGCGGAAGCGCAGGTACTCCATGCTGCGCGTGGTCACCAGCGGCTTTTGCGGGTAGAACAGCACGTGCGCCAGCGTGTCCATGCGCACGTGGTA